CAGTACAGTGTTGGCCCTGGGACCAATAAGCCTCGGGTTCAGTTCCGGCCAAGGGCACATACTTTGGTTGTAGTTTGTCCCTGGCCCTGGTCTGGGTCGTGTGGGAGGCAACCAGTCGATGTCTCCCTCCCACTCTATCTGAAGATAAATAGAAAAATATCCTTGGGTAAGGATTTAAAAAAAGCCCTGGCTGTTTTGACTCAGCAGTTAGAGCGTCGGTCCAGAGAGACCTGGATTTGGTTTAGGTTCCTGCTAAGGGCAAGTACCTCAGTTGCAGTTTGTCCCTGGCCCTAGTTGGGGTTATGTGGGTGGCACCCAGTCGATGTGTCTCTCTCATGTCGATCTCTCTCTCTCTCTCTCTCTCTCTCTCTCTCTCTCTCCACCTCTCTCTCCACCTCTCTGTCCCTCCTGCTCTATCAAGGAATCAAAAATGTCCTTGGGTGAGGATAAAAAAAAAAAAGTTAAAAAATTTGGTTTTAGCTATAGATTTTTTCTAGATACCTTTTATGAAGTTGGGGATTTCCCTATTTCTAGTTTGTCCAGAGTATTTATCATGAATAGGTATTAAATTTGATCAGATACCTTTTCTGCAATTATGACAAAATCCTGTGGTTTTTATCCTGTATTCTGACAACACAGTGTATAAGGTAACTTAATTGAGTTTGGAATGCTAAACCAACTTTGCGTTCCTGGGATACACCCCATTGATTTTGATAGATAATACTTTTTATATATTGTTGAATTTGGTTCTTCATGTATTCATGTTGACTTGAGTGAACATTTAAGTCATGTCCTTTCGGCCTGAAGAACTCTTCTCAGCCTGGCCATTGTGGCTCAGTGGATTGAACATTGTCCTATGGACTGAGAGGTCCCAGTTCAATTCCTGGTCAGGGCATATGCCAGGGTCGCGGGCTCGATCCCCAGTAGGGGGCATGCAGGAGGTAACCAATTGATGTTTCTGTCTCTCTCCTTTCCTCTCTCTCTAAAAAGAAAATCAATAAAAACATATTAAAAACAAAGACAAAAAACTCCTGCCCTGGCCAGTTTGGCTCAGTGATTAGAGTGTCGGTCTGCGGACCAGTGAGTTGCAGGTTCGATTCCAGTCAAGGGCACATACCTCAGTTGTGGTTCGTGGCCAACCCTGGTCGGGTTGTGAGGGAGGCAACCAGTCAATGTTTCTCTCTCTCTCTTCCTCCCTTCCACTCTATCTGATGATTAAAATAATAATAATATATAGATAGATAGATAGATAGATAGATATACATCTATCTATCTATATATATCTTTAGGTGAGGATAAAAAAAACAAAAAAGCTCCTTCAATGTTTCTGGTAAGGCAGATCTGTTAGCAATGACTGTCTGTTTTGTTTATCTGGGACCATCTTTATCTCACCTTCATTTTTTTTTCCACCTTCATTTTTGAAGGCTAGTATTGCTGGGTATAGAATTTTTTATTGACAGATTTTACTTTTTTATTTTTTATTTTTATTTTTTATCCTCACTTGAGGACATGTTTCCTTTTTTTGTTGTTGTTCAGATAGAGTGGGAGGGAGAGAGAGAGACATCGATGTGAAAGGAACACATCGAGTGGCTGCTACCCGCATGACCAACCAGGGCCGGGGACAAATTGCAACCGAGGTATGGCCCTTAGCGGGAACCGAACTCAGGTCTCTCTGGACTGCAGGCCAACGCTCTAACTGCTGAGCTAAACTGGCCAGGGCCAGATTTTACTTTTTCTTCAGCATTTTAGATATACTATTTTACTGTCTTATGGCCTCCATTGTCTCTAACAAGAAGTCACCTATTGGCTGTGTCATTGTTCACCTTTATGTGATGGCTTATGTTTCTATTGCTGCTTTCATGGTTTCTTTCTATCTCTGACATGTGGGAAGTTGATATGATGCACACAGTGTGGCTCTTCCTGTGTTTGTCATACTGGGGTTTATAAAGCAGTGGCCATCCTGCTGCACTGTAGGGGTGCTAGAGAGAACAGGACAGGGTCTCAGTTCCTTCTGCTCTGATATACTCCAGAGACAGCACCCAATTTTACTTCAGTTTTACTCTTTCCTATTTATTGGTGAATATTTTTTAAAATGTTTTTATTGATTTTTTTATAGAGAGGAAGGGAGAGATAGATAGAAACATCGATCAGCTGCCTCCTGCACAACCCCCACCAGGGACTGAGCCTAGCATCCAGGCATGTGCCCTGACTGGGAATTGAACTGGGATCTCGTTCAACCCACTGAGCCACACTGGCCAGGCTATTGGGGAATATTTTTACATTTGGTCCTCTTAGCAAAAAATTAATTTTATTTCGTCCTTCTGCATCAGAAATACTGAATTCAGCTTGGCTTTGTTTTAGCTGTTCTGTTGTCAACTGAAAAATAATATCGACTAGGTGTTTCATCACCAAAAATAATTTATTCGGGGGAAAAAGAAAGGGTTTAGACCCAGACATAGTAAGCCACCTGCACACTCTGGTGCCTGTGCCAAGTTGGAGGGATATTTATAGAAGGGAAAAGGAAGTTAGGGGGAGGGGAATTCAGAACCACAGGAGCCTTATTATAAATAGAATTCTTCCTCTAGGGCATCGGTTCTCAACATGTGGGTGACGACCCCTTTGGGGGTTGAACCACCCTTTCACAGGGGTCGCCTAAGATATAACAGTAGCAAAATTACAGTTACGAAGTAGCAACAAAAGTAATTTTATGGTTGGGGGTCACCACAACAGGAGGAACTGTATTAAAGGGTCGCGGCATTAGGAAGGTTGAGAACCACTGCTCTAGGGTGTGATAACTTCCATAAGCCCTAGCTCCTCCCACAGATCCTCCTGACTGACTGTTTCAGGTTGCAGGTAGTCCTTATCAGTGTGCACAACAAGGCAGTTTAGAAGGGAGATCTGTTAAGGAGCCCACGTCTCTCATCACCAATTACAGAAACAACCTTTGTAGTAGCTTTGCATGTCATAATGTGTTTATTTGTATATAGTAACCATTTTCTTCTCTCTCCATTTTTAAAAATAGTTGTCAGAAGTTAACTTTACTATTTAGTTTTTGTGTGTGTGTGGTACATGCCCCAAGTGGGAACCGAACCCAGGACTCTTTGGTCCGCAGGCTGACGTTCAACCACTGAGCCAAACTGGCCAGGGCTAAGGCTAGTATTTGGTTTTAACAGAAGAACACAATAGAATATTCAGTGACAGAGCCCTGGCCAGTTTGGCTCAGCAGTTAGAGCGTTGGCCTGCGGTCCAGAGACACCTGGGTTCAGTTCCCACTAGGGGCGTGTACCTCAATTGCAGTTTGTACCCGGCCCTGGTTGGTCATGCAGGTGGCAGCCACTCAATGTGTCCCTTTCACGTCGATGTTTCTCTCTCTCTCTCTCTCTCTCTCTCTCTCTCCCCTCTCCTCTCTCTCTCTCTCTCCCCGTCTCTTCCCCCCCTCTCCCTCTCTCTCCCTCCCACTCTATCTGAACAAAAAAATGGAAAACTTTCCTCGAGTGAGGATAAAAAAAAAAAAGAATATTCAGTGACAGAGCCTGAGGAGTAATGTAGCCAGTGATCAATGCAATGACTGTTGGAACTGTGCATACGCTCATTTTGGAGAAAGTGAGAATTTTCTCAATTGCAATAATAGGGTGGAGGTATCTTGTTAGGTGAACATATAAGTTGTTTCACTGTTGTATAGAAGTTCAAGTATGTTTGAAAGGATGCATACTATTCATAAGGCTGGACTCTGCCCCTTAACTCCAAATCCGATATTCTTTGCCTGCCCTGCGATAGTGGAATCCCTAAGCGTTTCTCTTGTCAGTTGTAAAGCTGATGCCTTCCCCCGCCCCAGCTTCTTACCAGTTCACTCTAAGGAACTTGCCAGAGATATGCCCTGCAGGATACTGGGAAAGGGTGTTCAGGAGTAGCAGACACTCTTCTATCCAGCCTCGGGAGGGGTGCAGGAGTGTGGGAAGTCGGGCAACCCAAGCCTGTGCCTGCAGCGCGCAGAGGGAGGCCTGGTGCAAACCCTCTCGCGCCCCCTGGTGACCAAGCTCGGCAGAGGCAAGTGCAGGTCCACCTCCGCAGGGTGGGCCACGTGGATTGGGAGCTGATGCCGGCCGTAAGGGGTAGAAGCCGTAAGTGTTCACTTCGTTTTCCATCATTTCCCACGGTTCATGCTGACACCTGAAATAATTCTCATTTTGGAGATTATTAGTTTAACAGAATTATACAGTTCCAGCAAATGTTAAACGGGCACATATTTTTAACGTGCGAAACACAGGAAACCCTCGCGACACCTGGAAAGAAGTCTGGCGGCTGCTGCTCAGGCGCTTCCGGTCCAGTTAGAAAGCACAGACCGGACCTCCGCGTGGCATGTGGGGCGTACCCGCGCTCACTCTTGCTCTGGCCGTGTCCAGGCACGTGCCCAAGGGTTCAGAGGGCACCCAGGGGCCCCAGCCAGAGCGGAGGGCCCCACAGAGAACGGAGACACCAGCCCCAGGTGTGTGACCCTCTCGCTGGGGAGGTGGTTCTGCTGAGGACGTTGCATTAGAAACCTTGTTACCGCAAATGTTTGTCCCGTGACAAGTTAACTGTGCTTGTACAGACATCTAGCAACACCCCAGAGGGAAAAGGGGACGAAAAAGCTGCCCCCTACCCACCCCGCACCACGTCAGTCCGCACCCTCGCGCTCCGGCCACTGAGCTCTGAGCCGCTCGGGCCCGACGCGCCCAAGTGAGCGCGCGGGCCCCGCCCCCATCGCGGCCCGCCCCGCCCTCCCCGCGAGCGTGCGCGCCCCGCCGCCGGCGTGCGCGCGCCCGCCCGCCGCAGCCGCCATTTTGGAGTGACCCGAGCGCCGCCCGCGGCCCCAGCCGGTCCCGCGCCGCCCGCCGGCCAGCGCAGTGACCGCGGGCGCCGAGGCCGTAGGCGCCACGCCGGGCCGGGCCCATGTGTGTGCGGCCCGCCCCAGGCCGCCCGGGCTTCGCCTCCGCCAACGCCCTGGCCTCCACCCGGGCCTCCGAGGAGCCGCCGCGACGCCCGGCCCGCGGGGCAGGTGAGTGCGGCTGCCCGCGGGCTCCTGCGCCCGCCTGTGCCCGGGCGTGTCCGCCTCCGTCAGTGCCCCTCGCTGCCCCGGCGGTGACCCCTGAGAGATGCCAAGTGTGCTCGCCCCGTGCGCCCGCCCGTCAGGGTCCCCCCACCTCTCTGCACCTCCGTCCGCGCGTCGGTGCCGCCCCGTCCGCGGCCGTCCTGTCAGCCGCCCTCCTCCCGTGCCCGGCCGTGAGGGGCCCTGCCGGCGGGCGCCGCGCTGCCCCGCTCGCTGCCCGCCCTCCGGCCCTCCGCGACCCCGCTGCCGTCCGCCGTCCGCCGTGTCGTCCTGCCGCCCGGCCCCTCCGCGGCCCTGCTGCCCCGCCGCCCGCCGCTGGGCTCCGAGCGCTCCCGGCTGGGCTCCGAGCACTGCCCGCGCCCCCGCGGTGTCCGCCCGTCACGCAGCCTCCGCACGTGGTGCCCGGACCCCCGTCTCGTCCCTGTGGCCTGCTCGGCCTGTCCTTCACCCCGCCGGCGCCTCCCCGGCCTCTTCCTGCCCTGCCCTTGGCCTCCCGGCCCGCGGCGCCTTCTCGTCCCTGCCTCCCCTCTCCGCTTTGGGCTTCTCCAGCGCCTCGGCCCGGCCCCGGAGGGGAGGAGCAGCGGCTGTGGGAGCAGCGGGGCCGCCGGGGCAGAGCCTGCTGGGCTGCGGGCCACCGCGGCCAAGACCCCGAGGCGCCCCCAGGACCCGGCGAGCCGCGTGCGCCAGGGTAAGGGGAGCGGGCCGTGCCCCGTGGCGCTGCGGACCGGGGCCTGGGACGAGGTGCGGGCAGTGCTGGTGTGCTTTAGACCGTGGTGGCCCTTGGCGGGTTTGGGGGTCGAGCTGTTGGGACCTGCTGATCTCGGGAAGGACTCGAGGTGATGGGACAGGCGCTCACGGTGGGCGGCGGCGTGGGGACTCACTGCCGTTGGACGAGGCCGGCCGCAGTGGGCATCCCCGGGAGAGTCGAGCCAGAGGGCCAGGCGGCAGGCACAGCCCAGCAGCGGTTGGTGGTTGAAGCCTTGGGAATGCGGTTCCCTCTCTCCTCTCTCTCACACAGCACGAGGATCGACCATTTATCGTGTGCTGCGGTGTTAAATACTTCATGTGACCTTTCATTTAGTCTTCCCACGAACCCTAGGACTTAAACTGAGCTCTACAGCAAATAGGATTTGTACCCCAGGCAGGCTGACTAAAGCTTTCTCTCCCCTCCCCCTTATTTTGGTCAAGGAACAGGTTAACTTGAAAGTACTGTTTTAAAGTTTTAAATAATAGTAATGGCTGATTATGTACCAGGCACTTCTGTGAGTGCGCACGCGTGTGGTGTTATTTAGAAAAACAAGCCCAGGTACTTTTTAAAGTGTGTTATCTATACCATCTCAGTGCCTTTTATTAGTCTTGTATCCTTGTGAGATACAACATTGTGACATAGAGTGGGCATGTGACTTGCGCAGAATTTACTGTAAACTAGAGAGTGAAAACTGGTGCTGAATTCTGCGTTTTGACATCTAACCCAGTAATTGTTTAATTCTGGAAACAACTTGATGTAGTTACTCTTAACATTACTGTTAATATTCATATGAGAACAGGGAGGCACATACAAATTAAATAACTTCCCCAAGCTCACAATAAATAAATGAGTGGGTTATGCACATGGTTATCTGAACACAATATAATTCAAAAGATCCAAAGTTTGTATCAGGAAGTCAGTCTCATTCTCACCCTGTCTCAGCCATCGCTTCCTCTTAGAAATCATGGCATATCCACATACAAGCAACCAGACCTCTTTTTCGCACAGAATATGCAATTGTACAGTCTTTTATTTCCTTAAAAAAATTTTTTTTTCTTTATTGATATTACAGAAAGAGAGAGGAAGGGAGGGAGAGAGAGAGAAACATCAATGAGAGAGAACATCGATTGGTCGCCTCCTGCATGCCCCCCACTGGGGATTGGGCCCACAACCTGGGCAGTGTTCTGACCGGGAATCAAACTGGCGACCTCTTGGTGCATGGGTTGACACTCAACCACTGAGCCACACCAGCCAGGCTATTTCTTTTTTTTTTGATCCTCAACCCGAGGACATTTTTCAGTATTTTGTTCAGATAGAGTGGGAGGGAGAGAGAGGGAGAAACATAGACATGAAAGGGACACATCAAGTGGTTACCACCCACACGACCCAACCAGGGCCGGGGACAAACTGCAACTGAGGTACATGCCCTTAGCAGAAACTGAACCCGGTTCTCTCTGGACCACAGGCCGATGCCAAACCAGCCAGGGTGCCAGGCTATTTCTTTAAAAATATTCCCACCTTGGCCAGTTTGGCTCAGCGGTTAGAGCGTCAGCCCGAAGACCAAAGAGCTGTGGGTTCGATTCCGGTCAAGGGCAGTACCTTGGTGGTGGTTCGGTCCCCAGCCCTGGTCAGGATCCTGTGGGAGGCAGCCAGTCTTTGTGTCCCTCTCACATCTATGTTTCTCCTCCTCACCCCATCTGAAGATAAAGGGAAAAATATCTTCTGATGAGAATTTAAAAAAACAAACAACAAAAATCCACATCCATGTGAGAGAGAAACATCAATCAGCTGCCTCCTGCATGCCCCCCACTGGGGACCAAGCCGGAAACCCTGGCATGTGCCCTGACCAGGAATTGAACCAGGACCTCTTAGTCCATGACAACACTCAATCCACTGAGCCACACACCAGCCAGGCTAAACTTGATGAATTTTTAACAAATGTGTATACACCATTATGTCCATCACTCATGCCAAGATATAGAACATTTCTGTTAACCCTAAAAATTTGTGTCCGTTTTCAGTTATTACACCAGCCCTCAAAATCTCAAGGCAATCAGCCCTGGCCAGTTTGGCTCAGCGGTTAGAGCATCAGCCTGCGGTCCGGAGAGACCCGGGTTCGGTTCCCGCTAAGGGCACGTACTTCGGTTGCAGTTTGTCCCCGGCCCTGGTTGGTCGTGCGGGTGGCAGCCACTCGATGTGTCCCTTCACGTCGATGTTTCTCTCTCTCTCTCCCTTCCTCTCTCTCCCTTCCACTCTATCTGTACAAAAAATGGGAAAATATCCTCGGGTGAGGATAAAAAAAAAAAAAAAAAAAAAAATCTCAAGGCAATCATATTCCTGATTTCTAAAATATAGATTAATTTTGCAGGTTCTTGAACTTCAAGAAAAAGCGTATGCTCTTTTGTATCTGCCTTTTGCTTAGTATAATGTTTTTGTGATTTGTTGATTTTGATGCCTGTATCTGTAGTTTGTGCTTTTCTCCCCAATATTTATTTATTTTTGTTACAGATGTTTCTTCTTTTTTCCCCCTAGACACCCTCCTCCCCACCCCACCCCCACACCCAGCATTTTTGTCTCTGTCCATTGGTTACGCATACATGCATATAAGTTCATCTATCCCCCCTCCCTCATCTGAGGTCTGTCAGTCTGAACCGTATTCTTTTCTCTGTCTGTGGGTCTGTTTTGTTCATCAGCTTATTTTGTTTATTATATTCCACAAATAAGTGAGATCATTTGATATTTGTCTTTCTTGGATTGGCTTATTTCGCTTAGCATAATGCTCTCTAGGTCCGTCTATGACAAGATAGGATAAGAGATCTTTCTTAACAGCTGCATAGTATTCCATTGTATATATGTACCACAGCTTTTTTATCCACTCATCTACTGATGGACACTTGGGCTGTTTCCAGATCTTAGTAACTGTAAGTAGTGCGGCTGTGAACATAGGGGTACATATATTCTTTCTGATTGATGTTTCAGGCTTCTGGGAACAGAAGGGAAGGGAAAGTGAAAGGGAGATAGAAACGTCAATGTGAAAATCATCCATTGGCTGCCTCCTGCACATCCCCAAAGGGATCAAGCCCACAACCTAGGCACAAATGTGCCCCAACCAGGAATCCAGTTGGTGACCTCTTGGTGCATGGAACCCATGCTCAATTAACTGAGTCACACCAGCACCAGCCAGGCAAGGTTGTCAGTCTTTTTCATTTTAGCCATTCAGGTAGTAGTGGAATCTCACTGTGGTTTTAATTTGTATTCCTCTGATGAATAACAGTGGCAAAGTAGCTTTCCATGTGCTTGTTGGCGATCTGTATGTCTCTTGTGAAGTATCAGGTCTTTAGCTCACTTTTTTATTGGATTATTTGTCCTTTTATTATTTATTTTTAGGAGTTTAAAAAATATATTTTGGTTATGAGTCCTTTATGATGGATATGTATGTATACATATACTGTGAGGGAGTAGGAGGAGGAGAGGAAGTGAGGAGTGAATATTTTTTCCTATTCATCGTTTGCTTGTTTGTTTCTTAATGGTGTCTTGTGATGAACAGAAAATTTCAGTTCGGATGAAGTAAAAATATGTCAGTAATTTTCGTGTGTGTGTGTGTGTGTGTGTGTGTGTGTAACAGCTTTATAGTGGTAGCATTTGTATTTAGATTTATGATTTTTTTTTCTTTTTAACAGCTTTGTTGACATTTTGATACATGTATATGCATTTAAAATCATCACAGTCAAGATAGCATACGTATCTATCACCTCTGAGATTTCCTCATGCCCCTTTGGGATCCTGCCTACCCTTTCCTGTCCCTCCACCTCCAAGCAAATATTGATCTACTTTCTTTCTTGTTTTAATCCTCACTTGAGGACATGTTCATTGATTTTAGAGAAAGGGAAAGAGAGAAAGAGAGAGAGAGAGAGAGAGAAAGAAACAGAAACATCATTGTGAGAGAGAAGCATCAATTGGTCGCTTCTGGTGCATGCCCCAACTAGGGACTAAGCCCTCAGCCTAGGTATGTGCCCTGACCCAGAATTGAACTGAACGCATGACCTTTCTGTGTACAGGACGGCGCTCCAACCAACTGAGCCACACTGGCCAGGGCTAATTTACTTTCTGAATGACCCATGTAATTTTTTGGGTGAGATAGAATCAGGGTACTTTTTCCCTCCATATGGGTTATGTAATCATTATAGTATCATTTGTTAAA